TGGAGCAAGACACCTAAGGTGTTTCAACAGCACTAGAGCAGTCAAACATTAAAAGAGAGGTCCCTAAGGACAGTGTGGTGGCACCATGCTCTGCAGTCCAGACTGTTCTTGTCCAGCTACAGCAATCTCTCATGTAGGTAACAGCAACTCCCCGATACATCCACAACAACTTCCTTTTGTAAAAGAGACTTGCCAAACCCATCTGGAAGAGTGTCTGACATAGTTTCCCTCATCGAGACAAAAAATTAATCTGGGGGGAAAAAAATAATTTGGGTTCACATGTATTAATGAGACGGGGATAGGAGAAGTCTGACAGAAGTTCACATTAGTGCAGGTCAACGCCGCTCATGCTCCGGAGAGAGAAGCTCCAACCCGGACGCCTTCCCTCTGCCTCAGCCGAGACACGCGCCTTTAGCCTGGAGAGGGCATCTAGTCCCTCCCCTGCCCAAAGCAGGGCCAAGTCGGACCATGTTGCTCAGGACCTCATCACATGGTACCTGCAAGACCAGGCTTAAGGGAAAAGCTGCCCCCGGCACTAGAAAAGCCTTTAAGACTTCTCTGAGAGCTGAAGTATGCTCTGTGAGGTGCAGAGTGCTGCCCACCATGGAGAAGGGCACTGGACCAGCTCAGCTCTACTTGCAGAGGCCAAAGCTGGGACATTGGGAGGGGGGGGAAAAAAAAGAGAATTAACGCAGAAAGAACTAAACCACTGCATCATAAAAGCCAATAAGCTTTTTCCAGAATTACTTCCTCTTTAAAGCAAAATATACTTTAAAACTCTGCTAAATATGAAGGCACTGAGGAACACATCTCACAAAGCCAAAAAAATTCTCTAAAGCAATTTTTAAAACTCTAGATAACAAAATGGATTTCAGAATAGGGTATTTAGTCATAGGAAGCTGTTCTGATTATTTGCATTTTTAAGTCTCAGCAAAAAAAACAACCCAAAACCTCAACACACAAAAAAATCTTCAGAGTACACAATTTCAAAGAAAACATTTCTTTCACCTGTTTTACTGGAGAGAAAACAAAAATCCAAAGGGCAATCCCCCTTTCAAGCACTGAATTGTGTCAGAATACAACAGTTCAGTGTTTAAATATATGGTGAAAAAACCTCAAGTACCCAATTTCATGATAGCCGCTCACCATCTCATTCTGTCTGCGCCACAGTGTTGAATAAGACACGAGAATTCATCTTATTGCAGAAGGAATAAAATGAAATAGCAAAGTAAGGATTACTGCTATTTTCTAACCAACTTTCATTTTCGTAAAGTTATAAACCAAGGTTCAAGTGCAATACAGGTCACGAGCCCTGAATCAGTTAACTCTGGGGAGCAGAAAAAAATTTAAATATATCTTAAATCTGTTCTTGATCTTTCTTGATCTTTCTTGAATTCACGGTAACACTATTTGATAACTAAACATTTACTTTTAAAAAAAAAAAATAGATGGAACAGGGAGAATACAAAATTGTCAACATAAATGATACCATTATCCACAACTTGGTCCAAAGCCAGCAAGTTAAATTAACTCTGCCAACTGTAGCTATTTTAAACCAAGACAGCACTTGCAATTTAGTTTTAAGATCATTATTCTTTGCTGACAAAAGCCCCCAACTGACTAACGGGTAACTGGGGGTGCATTTATTCAGACAGTTGTTAAAAAAAAACCCAATGAAAACACAGAGTTGTCATGATCAGTTTTCGAGTTATCTATTTCTTTAAGAACGGGCATACAAAAGAATTTGCAAGCCTAAAGGCATGTATTACTATGTTTTATTCAAATTGCAGCTAACACTGCTATAAAATTTCATAGCTAAATCTGTTACTGTCACCCAGGGGTAAGAAACACATAACAGGTACTATGGCCAGAGCTACCCTAGGAAGATACATGCTACAACCAAGTATTGTTAAACCCAAGACAAAAACATAAGCAGTGTTTTATAGATGTTTTTTAATAGTGACCAAATTGTTGAGATTAATGGTTTAACCACTAGATCCATTATAACTTTATTGTAGGCTCTGAAGATTACTACCTCATCTGGAAGCTACAGAATGTTTTGTCTCAAATCCACTAGTTTCTTTCCTCAAAACAGCCTTTCCAGGTCTCTTCAGCAGATCCTTCAGTTCTGTGTCATGGAGACAGCAAGGGCTTCACTTGCACAGAACAAGAAATCAAAGCAATCATTGTCTCTACTGTAAAGATGTATTTTACATGTGAGATGATCTTTAGATCCAAAAATTTTGGATTGGAAACTAGAGATGAAATGTGTTATTGCTTTGTTCAGTATCTAAAGGTGGATCTTTAAGAGTAACTCCTGACTATGATGTACGAGTTCATTCGCAGAATAAGCTCATAAAGCACATCCCCAAAGCCTTTTGTTTCTCCTGTTCTTCTCACCATTTTAACAAAACTGGCAAAAATCTCAGTACATACAGTAAAACATAAAGTTGAAAAGCCATATCCCTTAACCTGCAATAGGGTTCCCTTATTATTCTAGGTGGGGAAAAAACAATCCAAGAATTGACAACAAAACCCAAAATTCTGCATCACTTGTTATAGCTCACAAATGGTTTCCTATTACTACAGCAATTAAGGCATGAAAAGGATGCTGACTCGTGCAGTGCTAAATATACACTTGGCTGTTAGCCTGTCCAGTCACATGTACACAAGAAGAGAAAGCTGAGCGATGCACTAGTAAG